CAACAGCAGAAAGAATCAAGTAAGAAAGCTGACAACACCAGGGGTGTAAAAGATTGACAACGACAAGAATCGCAGTTTGAAACTGTTGCTTCCGTAAGTGTGAAAATTGGCAGGGATGAGGACGAAAACTCCGAGGAAGATAACAGTACTACAAGTCCGGATATTAATACAGATTCGGACTTCCAGAATAAACCAATTACATCAACCTCAGCCTCAAGTAATGCTAGTGTTGTAGAAGTTGCTTTGAAGAATCGAGGAAGAGATCTTCGACAGATAGCAGAAGCAAAGGTGCTTAATTTGATCTCTGATAGAGCAACTGCTTCGATTGTTAATGCCGCTCTTCGTATATACAGTATTCCCGAAATAGTTGACAAATCAAAAGTTCGCAGACCTGTTAATGTAATATTAGAAGAAGACGATGCAGTACCATTAGTGGTGTGTTGTGGAAATGGTTACGATGGTCGAAAAGATATGACTTTAACGCAAGAGAGAGTAGTTGAGAAACACTATTAATCAAGGAAAACTGAGGAACATGTTACAATAGTTTCACTCCCTGATGGAAAGTTCCTGGGCCATGTATCACCAACCGATGGTAAAGCTATAACTGTTTCTAAATCTCTCGTCCAGTTTTTACAAGAAAAAAACATAATTGATCAAATTGAAGCCTTGGCATGTGATGGCACTAACACAAATATTGGAGCAGAAAGGGGAATAAACCATTTGATTGAAGTAAGCATTGGGCGTGCTTTACAATGGAATGTTTGCCTTCTGCACGCGAATGAGTTGCCATTAAGGCACATCATCATTGTGTTGGATGGTCCAACTGCAGGTGCAAACACTTTTGCTGGACCTATTGACAAGTTACTACCAGATGTCTTGAATTATCCTGTCATCAAATACAAACGCTTTGGTCGTTCTCAACCTCTGTCTAAAATGCCTAACGAAGTTTGGAAGGATTTGTCGACAGACCAGAAATACATGTGGAGAATTACATCAGCGCTCATTTCCGGGCAATTCGATAAGGATTTAGAGCGTCTGAAGATTGGACCATGTAGCCACAGTAGGTGGCTTACGACTGCATGCCGTATCTGTAGGCTGTATGCGAGTACAACAAAACCATCAACAGTTTTAAACATTTTGACTGGATATATTGTGAATGTTTATGCTTCTATATGGTTTACTGTGAAGTATTATGAGCTTGGGATTAATGGTCTTCAAAATCTGTTTTTCCTAATGCAAAGATCTGAGTTAATAGAAGATGGAGCTGCTAAGAGGATCGCACAGCGCTGCATTTAACGGAACGCTTTTTATACCCATCCAGAAAATATTTTGCTAGCTTAACTAGCCTCATCCCATAAGCCAGACCGCATAGATGCTGTTCAAACGATCATTGAAGCCATAGCTAATCACCAAGATCAAGCTTATTCTGTACGTCTTTTCCGGGTGCCTGAACTGAATTTTAAATGGCAACTAATGATTAAGTGGAGTGATACTGACATACTAGAGCCTCCTTTGATTAGGAACATGTCAAATAGCGAATTGTTGGCCCTGGTAGCAGAACCTCTCATTGTACCAAAATTTAAATGTCACATCCAAATGGTTGAACGAGCTGTGAAGGAGGTTACAAAGGCCAGTCAGAAGGTAGTAGGTACGAAGCGACGGGATTCAACAATAAAAACATCAATGGTGTATCGCACCAAATATCCAAAGCAGGAATCAAAGAAGGATTTTATCCCAAAATAGTCATATTTTCCCTTAATAAAAAATATTTTTTTATTTTACTATAGACTATGTTGTATAACTTTTAATTCTGCATCTTTTATTGTTCTTTAATTGATTTCAAATTTTTTGAAATCGATTTGTTCATTAAGTGACAATGGTTCCATGTCAAAGGCAACCGTTTTATCGAATAAATAGTACTTTATAGATTACAAATATTAACCCCAAAGCCACGAATTTTTAGCTGTCTTCTTCCGAGTTAAATGTTTCTTGATTTAACGTACTGTTACAGTACCAGTTATGTTGAAAATTGAAATTTTATTCTAAATATTTTATGTGGAAAGCAAATGCGCAGAATGTTCGAGTTTCTGGACCTTACATTTGAAATAACCAATTTATCTTAAATAAGTCAAAAATCTGTGCAATGATAGTTATGACCATAGTTAGGGTGACCATTCTCCAGACAATAAACACCCTAACTATAGTTTATATCTAAAATCCAATAAACATTTTGGCGCTTTTTGCATTCCAAAAGAAAGTTTCTACTTTTTACAGTTCAGATATTATTCACCTTAGAACATTGTGCAATTAAAACTTTGATAACAGTTTATTGTTGTAATCAAATAGCTAGAAAAAAATATATAAAAAAACAACACTTTTTTACTTTGAGGAAATAAGTTTAAAACGGTTTTAATAATTTAAATTCAAAATCAAATAATTCCTTGTATATTTACACGTTAACTTTATTAAGCAATATTTCACATAAATAAGTCATTATACGTAGATTCTCAATACTTTCTTTTTTCTTATAAGTCTCACTTTGTGACTAGACAATATTTTCCTATGACGTCAAAAAAGTAAAAACAAACTAGAAAATTAGAAACTTGCGAAAAGTCAAAACATATTTCTGCGATTATGCAAACCATAATCGCAGAAACATGTTATTAGTCTCGATTAAAGTATGCGTTGTTTCGCTATTTTGAATTCCACTATTTTGAAGTAAAAATGTTTCATCCTTTTCTATTTCCGCCATTACAAAAAGCTTTTAACGCCTAACTATCGATTTTAACTAGTATTTGTACCTTTTATCGCTTACTTGTAGATTCTAGCTCTCATACGCAGCTCTAAGCAACTACTTTTAGCGCTTAGAGCTTTCAAATTATTTTTAAAACCCTAACAGCGACATAACTTAGCAAAATAGCAAAATTTTCTTCTCGATTAATTTTCTGCACATAGGACATTCGGATAATTGGTCACCACAAACTTGACATGATCCATGGCCACACAAAAATATCATGTTTTTTCGTCTATCCAAGCAAACAACGCACGTTGTCTAAAAAAATGACATATTTAATAAGTGAAAGAAAAGAAAGTTAGGAGTGACAAATTGAAACAAAAATAAAACGATAAAAAGTGAATTATAGCTTTTGACAATTGCACACTGATAATTTTCTTAATGATTATAAAATTTTTAACTCTAGCAATTATTTTTCCATTTATCAAGTCAAGTCAAGTTTTTTTAAAAATCAAAAAAACTTGACTTAATAAAAATAACAATTTAACACATACAAAAGCGTCCTTTAGAACGTAATCCCTCTTGCGAAAAACCAACAACACAGAATCAAAAATTATTTTAGGTAATTAAAAAGTAATGTCTGAAAATCAAAAAAACTTTTTGCTAGATGATATCTAGCAAACCCATGGTCGACGACACGGGTTTCGAAGTGGAGAAACCAGAACTCAAACATTTGAAAACTTAAAAATTGTACACATGTATGCATAATTTATTATAAATACATATCATGGCCTACTTTATACACGGCCGGATATGTTGCATAAATAGGCCAAAAATTAGAAGGCCAGTTTTTAGCATTTCGGTTATTTTTCATACTGCCAGTTAATATTGTTTAAATTTTATTTTGGGAGATATCGATTAAGTTGGAAATTTAGTTTTGGATATAATGGTGAACAAATGTGCTGTTTTTAATTGTCGAACTGGTCATAAATCTAAAAAAAAATGAATCTAGTTTTCTTAGTGCAAGTGAAGCTGTTTTTAGTTTTCCTAAAGATACTGTTTTAGAAGAAAAATGGATGAAATTTGTTAACAGAAAAGATTGGAAGCCAAGCAAACATTCAGTTATATGCTTAGACGATTTTGAAAAAAAGTATTTAAAATATGGAAAACGAGTTACCTTAAAATATGAGCTAAACCCTGTTCCAACCATTTATTCTGATGAAATTTCTATTCCACCTTCTATAATACATTAAATTCCTACTTTTCGTAAACCTCCAACTGACCGACATTCTACCATCCCAGATGAAATTCATACATTTCAAGAAATGGATAAAATAAAAAACATTGATATGCTTTATGAATCTATCTCTCCAAATGGATTTAGTTTTCAAAGATATGAAAGTTTTGTTTTATATTATCGTTTATTTTTTGTAGACACAACTCTATTTATTGAATCAATATGCATTGATAACAATTTTCACGTAAAGTTACATTACAAAAGTTCTCCACTTCCACTCCCTAAATGGTTTAGAACAATTAACAATTGTAAGCTTACAAGTTTATCGATTTTAAATAATTTGGAGTCTTATATGCACAACCTTGTTGAAGAAAATTCGTATGGTTTAGTTAATGAACTATCAAATTTAACTTTTTACAAATCCAAAGGTCGTCCTCCATATTCTTCACAAGTATTACGTTTTGGACTTATGCAAAGATATTCATCATTTCAGGCTTATTCCCTTCTTTTGAAACAACTCCCATTGCCATCAATGTCACTACTAAAGAAGTTAGTTTCTGGTGGAATCGATTCAATGAAATCATTAAAACTGTTATTAAATAAAGGAAAAATAAGCAATGATTGTGTTCTCCTTTTTGATGAAATGTATTTACAGCAATCTTGTGAATACCACAGTGGTAGATTATTTGGTCAAGATACTGAGGGTAATCTTTACAAAGGAATAATTGTGTTCATGTTAATAATAACTGTTGGTCTTAAAAAATCAATACCATATGTTACTAAAGCTATCCCAGAAATTAGTCTTACTGGAGATTTTATTAAAGATGAAATAGAAGAAAGTTTAAATACATTAAGATCTGCTGGTTTTAACATTCGTGCATTGATTGCTGATAACCATCCAACTAATGTGTCAGCTTATTCAAAATTACTCAGCGTTTATGGTTCACAAAAGCCAGAAGAAAATTTCTGTATCACTTTTAATGGTCATACAATTTATTTGATGTATGATAGTGTACATTTGCTCAAAAACTTAAGAAATAATTTGATTAGTACCAAAAAGTTTATTTTCCCATCATTTCAGTTCACTGATTACATTTTTAATATAAAAGTCTCTGCAGGTGATATATCTTGGGGATTGCTTCATAGAATGCATGAAAAAGATGAAACTCTATCAGCAAACTTAAGAAAGGCATCAAAACTAGGAGAAAAGACATTATATTCAGGTAACAATAAACAAGACGTCAACCTAGCATTAAATATATTCCATGAAACAACATCTGCAGCAATTCAAAGTTATTTTCCTAATAAATTTTCAGCATCAGAATTTTTAAAACTTGTTAATTTATGGTGGGTAATATCTAATTCTAAAATGAAATACTCTAATCATAAGTTTGGAAATGCATCTGTTATAGGGGACGGTAAGCCACAATTTTTACGTGCATTTGCTCACTGGATTGATCAGTGGCAAAATTCGCAATACAGTTCCATTGAAAGATATTCTCTTACAGCTCAGACTTCTAAAGCCCTTATTGTAACACTGCAAAGTACTTCTAGTTTAATTGAAGATTTTCTATTTGAAGGATATAATTATATTCTAACCTCTTGTTTCCAAAGTGATCCATTGGAGCGACATTTTTCAAAGTATCGCCAAATGAGTGGTGGCAGATTTCTTGTTGGATTACGTGAAGTAATAACTTCTGAAAAAATTTTGCAAATGAGATCATTATTAAAAGAAAATTTTGACTTTTGGAAAATGGATTTAAAACCTTTCAAGTGGGTTGTAAATATAAATTCAATTTCTGAACTTTTTATTAATGATATTCAGAAATGTGATTTAGATGATAACAGTAAAGAAGTTGCTATTTTTATTGCTAGATATATATGCAGGAAATTACTCAAAAAAGTTAAATGTGAATTATGCTCTTTATTGCTAAAAAGTGATCTCATTGATTTAAATACAGAATATATTGAACAGAGGAGGTCTCATAACTCCCTCAAAATTGCTTGCAAATCATGTTATTATTTGCTTTGCTATGCTTGATGCAGTAAAAAAAAGTTTACTTACAATAGAAATTCTTGACATCAGAAAAGTTAGCGAATATATTTTATATGAATATAACTAGAACCACAGCTTTATTTGTGAGGATCATTTAAAGTGGGGGCTTTCTCTCGTTCATCAGACAGTAATAAATATTTTTTATAACAATGAACAAAAGATTTTAAGTAATGAAAAGTGCAAAGATGCTGTATTATCTTTTAAAAGAAGACAAAGGGAAAAGAAAAAAAAAAGAAATGTAGTTTATGTGTGTATATATATATATATATATATATATATATATATATATATATATATATATATATATATATAATATATATATATATATATACACACACATTTAACATTTTAAGGCTGATTTTGGGTAACCAGCTGCCATTTTTTTTTGTATTGTCAATACTTTTCTAGAAGTTTCGCTAGCTTTTTTAACTCGGAAATAGATTAAATAATTACTTGATTTCAAAATAGTCAAGCAACGGACTTAAACATTTTTATAATACAATAGTTATATTTTAGGAATTAGTTTATTAATTCCTAAAATATTATTTTTGAAGAACTATCAAAATCTTCTCTCAGAGTATTGGTAATGAATTTAAGATAAATTCAAACATTGAATGCTTTTGAAGAAGCCTCTTCAAAATATTTTACCATTCTGGATTCTGCCAACAAAAAAAGTTAACTAGAAATAAATGACAGCACCCTAAAATAGTAAACAAGCTAGTGAACTATTTTAATATAATTATTTCACTTTATATTCTTTATTTTAATGATGAGGTTGAGTTAAATTTAGATTTTACTGAATTTATATTGGCTTCCTTTATCAGGTTTGTAAATATTGTATAATAAATATTGAATAGTAAAGAAATTTAGTAAAAATGATAAATTTTGACATTTTTTAATAGATTTTTATTTAATTTTATAATTAAAATGCAATAAAGTGTCGCATTCAATAAAGTTTTATGTTAATTCATTATCTAGTTATACAGAATGCTTAGGACCTTGATTATATTGAGGATATTGAGAAAGTTTTAAAAAGATTTTGTAAAAAAGGTGGTTTATGGATACAATATATAAACTTTTGCCTGGAACATATCTGAGCTAGCTTTTAGAACCAGAAGAATATATATGTCTTATGTATGGATGTTAAATCTATCATCTATCTTCCATTGTTATGAAATATAACTTTTTTTAGATTGTTAAGAACTTAACAATCTAAAAAAACTTTTTTCAATTGTTATGAATAACTTTTTCCCGATTTTTAATGTTCTTAAATTCAACTTAAGACTCATTGAAATAAATTTATATATAAGATTTTAATAGACTATTATTATTTTTTTCAACATTTTCACTTTCAACTAGCCTGCAAGCAACCACTATTAGAGTTGGAAGTTACTGGAAGGGAAAAGAAGAAGTTTATAGAGCAAGATAATGATTGAAAGATGACTTAAAAGATTGCAAATTATATGAATCAGGAAAACAAGATGAAGGAAGCGAATTCCAAAGTACTGATGTTCGAGGAAAAATAAGAATTTTTGGAGCATTTACAAACATTTACAGTAAAAGGATGAGATGTAATTGAATGACTAGAAACACGAGAATGAATTTTAGTAGATGACACAAGAGATGCTAGCTTTTTAGGGCAGTGCCCATTACACTGTACAACAATTTTTAACTTTTTGAAAAAAACAAGAACCAAATTAGGTTATCTTTATTAATTCAGACGTGCTGATTCCAAATATGTAATCAGTTATGCTGTAGCATGTCACAATTTTTTGAAATAACGATTTAAAGATGTAACGTAAGATGCATTTTTCTATACATATGAATAAGTGTATGAACATGTTTATTATCACTTGTAACACAAATTGTTTACTTGTATTTAGTTGTATTTAGCCTGGCGTTTGAATGCTGCATCAGGTTCATCACGGTGCAAATTCCAGCAGTAATCTGCAAGCATGGCGGGGCTCCACTTTCCCTTGTATCTGCTTTCCATTGTGGCAATACTCTGATGAAAGCGCTCGCCATTTTCATCATATACATCTCCATTGACAGAGAAGAAGGAAAGATGGGAATGAAGAAAGTGGAGCTTCAGCGACATTTTACAACCCAGTTGTTGATAGGATGCAATTAATCTGTCTACCAAATTAGCGTAATTTGGTGCAATATGTTTTCCAAGAAATCCCTGGCACACCCGTTTGAATGCATCCCATGCTGCAAGTTCATATTGATCCATCGTTACCGAAAATGTTTCATCCAGCATCAGTTCTCGTATTTGGGGCCCCACCAAAATGCCCTCTTTAATTTTGGCGTCACTGATTTTAGGAAATTTGGTCTGCAAATACTGAAATGCTGGTTTGTCGTGATCTAACGTCTTTACAAACTGTTTGAAGATTCCAAGCTTGATCTGAAGATTGGGCAAGACGATCTTCTCTTTATCCACAAGAGGTTCATGAATGACGTTATGGCAACCAACCTCAAATGTTTCTCGTTGTGGCCAACATTTCCTCATATAATGTTCTGATCTCATCCTGCTATCCCATTTGCAGAGGAAACACATGTACTTAGTAAAACCAGCCTGCAATCCATTTAGTATAGCAACAACTTTCAAATCTGCACATATGGACCATCTGTGATCTCTGTATTTAATTCTGTCCAGAATAAGTGATATATTCACATAGCTTTCCTTCAGGGTTACCGAATGTGCTATGGGAATGGAAGGCAGCACATTTCCAGTATGCAGTAATACTGCCTTAATACTATAACGTGATGCATCAATAAACAAATTCCACATAGATGAATCGTATTGTATTCCTAGATCATTAAACAATACACTGATGTCATTACAGAAGCAAAGTTCTTTATCCATAGAGAAGTATAGCTGCAGTTCCCGTGATCGCTTTCTAAATGACGACACTCTTGCATCACCAGCCAACAGATGCCACTCATGGAGACGTGAAGCCAGCAATTCACTCTCTTGCTTTGTTAAATACAAATCTCGAACGAGATCTTTCAGGTCAGATCCTGTTATGAAGTGGGGTTTACGCTCTGTATCTTCTGGCAACTTGTAACTATCATCGTCATCAGTATCCTCGTCTGAATCAGAACTTTCCGTGCTTGGGATTTCCAATGGAGGTTCAGGAACAGTGAGTTCAGCTGAATGAGGAACAGGACGAATAGCTGAAGGTAGATTTGGGTACACTATAGCTTTCTTACCCTTAGAATTGCAACCTGATATGTTAACAGAACAGAAATAGCAATCTGAACAATGATTTTAGGGTTCACACCACACCATTGGCACCCCAAATGTTGGTCCTCCACCAGTCCTGTTCGCCCACGACGATAGTGAACTAGCGCATCTCACACAGCATGCATGAGGCGCCCAGTTCTTATCCTGGTCGCCGACTTTGCAACCAAAGTATAGTTCATACAGTTTTTTCACATGTAGTGTCAATCTTCGTCTGCATCTCTTTAAAGTCATTTTGCCACAAATGTAGCAAAAGTTGTCGGCTTGATTTTTACAAGTTCTGGGCATTTCTTGTTTCAATATACACTGTATTATATCTATATATTACTTGGCTAACTGTAGTTTATCTAAAATAAAACAGACTTACATTTAGTCTAATACAAGGTTAAACAAATGCAACTGTATTATATCATACACTGTATTATATCTATATATAACTTGGCTAACTGTAGTTTATCTAAAATAAAACAGACTTACATTTAGTCTAATACAAGGTTAAACAAATGCAAATAGGTATATGATAAAAAAATGCTAATAAATAAATCATAAACAACTGCTATTAAATATAATAAAAATCACATTGACAACTTTCATAGTGAAAATCGAAAATTTGAAAATGTGAATTTCCGTCAAAATTGGTGGGTCACAACAAAACGGACATTATTTTCGTAATCTCTAAATCAAAATACATAAGGTAGTGTCAATGGCATTTCCGTTTTTTTTTCGTTGTTGTACAGTGTTATAGATTTGGTAGAAAAAACAAAGAGAAGCAACATTATGATGAAGTGGTTGGAGGTTGGCTGTAAGAGCAGATTCAACTATGATTACAATGCGTTTTTGCACCTTGTCTAAAAGAGAAAAGGTATCATTGGAAGATCTGCCCCAGATATGGCAACAGTATTCCATACAAGGATGGATTTGAGATTTATAGAGATAAAGAATAGAATCTGGAGTAAGAAAGTGGCAAGCAAAATAACTCTTTATTGTGCTTGCCACTTTCTTACTCCAGATTTCTTATGCAACCTTAGCAGATGCTAATTTTGCAATCGATTTAACATATGGTTTCCAAAAAGTTTTCAGTTTTTGAACTAATTTTCTTCCATCGAACTTGCATAGCAAAGAAAAGATTTTTAGAGAAAAAAAATTTAATTTAAAAAATTTTATGAGTGGAAAAAACATAAAGATGGAAGAAAATGCCAAAACACCATCACAGTAAAAGCATGAAGGAACATTTACAGTAAAAGGATGGAACTTTGATGAATGACAAGTCATGCATGATTAAGTTTTGGTTAATGGAACAAGTAATGATTAAGGCTGCTTGAGCAGCGACCATGCTAATATTTGCAGAAACACGAAAGAGATGCAATCTAAAAAATGGCATAAGATTAGCAACTAAAGCAGATTCAACAATTTTTTTTTTTTTTGTTATTTACCTCCTCAAGGCCAAGAAGGCCACTACAGACGAGGAGGCTACTTAATAGTGGTTATAACCCTCTCTCAACTCTATAACTCCGAAACATGAACCTTGACGAACAAGGCTGCTGTGCGGAGAAACAAGTTGAGCGCGGTACTACCAGGGACATGGTGGGGATCGAACTCGGAACCTCTTGCTTATGAAGCGAGTGTTTTACCACTACACCACTACCGCATTTACAATGTTTTTTAAGACCTTGTCTAAAAGTTTTAAAGACAAAAGGATTTTGTCATATTCAGGCTTATTTTTTTACATGGATTTATGGAGATATTTTATGGAGAATATTTTATGGTAGAAAATGGAATTAGGAGTAAAAGAAAATGCTAAAAATGAGACAAACTTTTAGATCTTTCAAACTTTTAGAAACTTTTAGATCTTTCAAAACTTGAAAAGTTTTGAAAGATCTAAAAGATCTAAAAAAGAGGAATCATCGTTAAAATTAATTTAAAAATTAAATTAAAATTATCCAACCACTGTGAGCATTGAGCTGTCAAGAATAAAGATCACATTTAACATAAAATGATTTGGTATCCCAGAAATTACTGGAAACTAAGGAGAGTGTTGTCCACCATAGACAACTGTAATATTGCAATTAAAAAATAATGATTATATAATTTAAAAATATTTCCTAGATTTACTACATAAAGTGATCTTATGGAAAGACAAGAAGCTGTTGCTTTTAATAAAGTCTTGCCAGACTTTATTAAAAGCAACAGCTTCTGCACTTGACATATCCCAATGAGATTTTAGAAATTTGTTAAAAACTCAAAGTGCTAATAATGGTAACATGCACTGTACAACAATGGTAATATGCACGGTAACAAGGACTGATTAGGCAGAAAAAAGGTCAGATCAGTTTTAAATTTTAAAAAATTTGAAGTTTTCAAATTTTAGACCTACAGATACCTGTTTCCACCAGAAAAACAATAGTTAAGTACTTGAAAAATAGTTTAGAGAGTTTTGAAGAATGTTCTGGAGTACATCTTTTGACTAGGAGAAGAATGTTGTCCAGGCTATAAGTCATATAACAGTTAAAGTGAGAAGTCTGGATGACTTGTATGTCTAACAATAAACTAACCTTTTTCCTGGAGTGAAAGAAATAATGGGGTCAAGAGATGAATAAATTGAAAAGTTTTTTGCAAACAGTTCTGCTTTTATCCTTGGGAGAGATAAGGTCAAATTGAAATATGATAGATGGAGTCTTAGACTTGCCTTTGTTAATAATGCTGTAATAAAGATCCTAGGACTTCACTTCTTATATAAATTATTAGATTTAGTATTTTAAGGAACTTTTTTCATTGATGCAAAAATTGTTTTAGACAATTTTTGCATCAATATCTTGCAATGTTAAAATAATTTGAAAAAAAAGAAAAAGAAAGAAAATAAATTTTTTAAATGGTTGTACCGATTTTAAAATAGTTACAACCATTTTTAAACGGTTGCCACCATTTTTAAATGGTTACAACGATTTTTAAATAGTTACAACCATTTTTAATTTATATATACAAAAAAAATTAGATGATAAAAAGGTAGTATTAATAAAGTTGACACAAAAAAATTTTTTTTTTGCGAAAAAATCTCAACCTGCTCCTTCATTTCTTGAATCTGTTTTTCCAATAAAAGAATATCATTGTTGCAAATTAAAGATGAAGATGAAGATTCTAAAAAAGAGAAAAAAATCATTTAAAAAATTAAAAATCATTTAAATTATTAATTAATATATTATTTGTATTAAAATAACTATAGATCACAAGAGTTATATTTTCAAATTTACACATCATTTTTTATTTAAAAGCTGAAATACAATTCTAAGCTAAGGGAACTCTAAAAGAAAATTTTTTTAGAAAAAGTTTAAAATAATTATAAATCATTTTTACTTAACAACCTTTATTAGATATATTGCTAACAAATGTGGAACACTTATTTTGTCTTTTACTTTTACATTTTTTTATCTTGTTTTATTTTTTTATAAACAAAACAGTATAAAAATTGTTGAATTGCAACTTTTTGCATGCACATAAATTTAAAAGTAAGAATAACGTAACATTGAATAAAGATAATACGATTTTGTTTCAGGAAAACAATTGTACAAATTCTATTTTGAATCATGAATTTAATTAAGGAAAATGTAAAACTTTTATAATAAGTCTTTTGTGTAACAAATAACACTACTATTCTTGTTTAGTAAAAACTTAAAGTAAAATTATAGCAGAAAGATGACAAAATTATAGCAGGAAAATGACAAAATGTCATATAATAAATGTGTTTTCAAACAAAAAGTAATCGATGATTATAATGCTGGAACAAATCGATTAGTTAAGTCTAGAAAGATTAGATAAGTCTATTAGTTAACAAGTATAAAACTAAAGGAAGTGTTGAAATGAGGATTTAGGGAACTAAGGACCAAAGAAATGTACTGCTCATACTGATCGCAGATATGTAAAAAAGAATCCAATTGCTGAGATACAATTTGAAAATTGGAACTTAATACTTCAGAAAATACTACACAACAACGTTTGGATGATGCAGGGTTGTATAGTTACTGTGTAACAAAAAACATTCACATCAGCAAAGAAACAAAAAGCATATTTAGAGTTCACAGAAATTGGTTGGTAGCATAGCAAAGACAAATATTATGGTTGAATAAGTCAAAGTTTATCAGAGAAGTTTAGATCTGGATATTCAGATGATACCTTTTGTAGACAAAAATATGCTTCTAAAGGACACCTTCAACAAGACAATCATCCCAAACACGCATCAAAACTTGTTAAAGCATGGTGCAGTAGAAATATAATCACTGTAATGCAATGGCCTGTTTAATATCCAGACCTAAATTCTAATGAGATTATATGGAAATAACTTGATGATAAAAAAAACATTTGTATGGTAGATTCAGAAATGCTGAAAAACTGTATCAGAAACCTTAAACTGTTTGATCACAAATACAATAAGTTCAGGTTGACAAAAAACTTTTTATTCTAAGAAATATAAGAAGTGATGTTTTCATTTTTAGATATTTTGCAGAAAGTAATAAAATTAGACACTGTTAAATTTTTTTGTAAACTCCTACTTATTGAGGAGATATTGGGTTCCAAAATTTGGCCTAATTTATAAAATTATTTGTGCATGGAGTGCAATTACTACTCTGAGATGCATTTTTAGCAACATGAACTTGATATGGAAATTCATGTTGCCAAAAATGCAACATGAATTTTTATTTTTCTGCTACTCTGGGTAGATTTCTAAAATAGAAATTCAATATGATTACACTTTTTGTTGTAATCACGGTTCAAAATTGCTAAACTTGAAATTTTACACCTATTTAAAGCATTAACAACTTTTAAGGCCATAACTTACACATGAGTTCCTTAATTGCTTTTGAAAGCCATGAAGGCTTACATTAATTTTATACAAAAAAAATCATGTGCATGCAAGAGTCTGGGAAGTAGTAAACTGTTAAAAAAATGATGGCTTGATGGCCTTAGGTCTGCCGTGAAATATATAAGTTATTTGATTTCCTTAAACATGAATTTTTAATATCTGAAAAAAAATCTATGTGCTTAAGCAATAAAAAGCCTACAGAAGTTCTAGAAGTAGTCTTATTTTGCAACATTTTGAATGTACAAAATGCCCTAGCAAAATACCCTAACAAGCAAGGACAAGCCAGAACCAACAGGAAACATTGTGACTTTGATAAAATGGCTAAAAAATCTAGCTTGAAAGTATTCATTGATGTAAACATATGAGTTTAAAGTTGATAATGTGGCGAAAGCTTGAGATCTCAAACCGCAGCTGCATATTGTTTGCCACAAGAGAAGTTTCTTACCAAACTTATCCAATGATTTATACTTGAACTTGTTGCTGACATGCCCACGAACAATTGGTGTAAAATTTTGGACCTTGAAGCTGTTTGAAGTCATACTTGATGTACATTTTGTCATCCATAATTATGTAGCCATTAAATTTTGTAAGCACTTCGTCAAAAAATTTCGAGCTTGAGTTTTAGCATTTAGTGATTGCTTTTCTGATTGGTTGGGTATTTAGTGGCTCGATAAGATTTAAAATTGTAAAATTTCTTAGTTTTTCTGACAAAAAACTCTGAAACTTTATACCTTTTGGCTTGTTCTCGTTTTCGATAAGCTGGGATTTTGCGTGAATGATTGTTAAAACTAATCGCTGCTTTCTTATCCATAAAGTCAGTCATTCTTCAAGATCCTTTTTCTAGTTTAATAGATAGAGAGCTCTTGTATTGTTTTATAACCATATAAACAGTACTTTTGCTAGATTTAGATTCTTTAGCAAATGAAAGTAATGATGCAGAAGGATTTTGTAGATATCGGGCAGATATCGAACTGATATAAAAATGTGCAGGTAATTAATATCTTATATTTTATAAGGTATTAATTTTTTTCAAACTCTTTATTATTTATAGCAAAAAACAAAACAGAGGTATTTTCTTTTAAAAAAATATCTCTTATAATCAATTTAAGATTGCAATATGCATAGTTCATCTATATTTTTGACAAACCAAACCATGGCAATAATATTAAATGTTTCTTTCTTTTTTTAATGATAATTGTTAACTAAAGTAAACTTAGCAAACTCAAATTTTAAGTTGTTTAGTGTCTTAAACATACTTAATAGTTATGCTAAAAGGCACATCAAAGCATTGATAAAATATATTTATCACAAGTGCAATTCTTTTTTCATTATTTATTTTCTTTTTTCACATTTATTTTTCCTGTAAATTTATTTAAATTGAAAGTTTTGTTGTAATTGTGCTGTAAACTTATTTTCTCTATACAAAAATTTCTTAATAAGAAATAGCTTAATGATTTTCCTTTTTTAACACACTTTCCACAATTAAATTGTTTATAAATCAAACTTTTATTAGTTAAATTTTATTTTTAATTATTTTAAATACTTTAATTTTATTTTTTAATTTATAAATCATAGTTTGTTAAAGTGTTATTAAAACACATACTAGTGAAATGAAAAATAATAACAGCAATAATAATAAATAAATTGTAAATGGTATAAAATGCCAATATTTATAATATATCTATTTTAAGATAATAAATATAAACTTATTTATAAGAAATAAACCTTTTAAGCCACATAAATCTATAGAAGGAACCATCTTTAATATAGTTCCTCTACACTGGACACACTTCTTCATTAAGCTAGAGCATGCTATAAAAAACAACATCAGAATTATTTCAAATATTATGAATAAATAGATAATCTTGTGAATACTAAAATTACCAGAGCATGCAGGAATATGACCACAAGGTTGAAAAAGAACGCTTGCAGGTTTATCAGAACACACTAAACACTCTTCAATCTAAAATATTTGATAATATTAAAACATTTAACATCAATATTTATTGATAAGTAAAGCAAGCAATAATACCCTTTGTCGAGATTGAACCAACTCTTTGCAAATTAAACATTTTTTAATTCGTGGGGCACAACCAGAACATGCTACAAGGTGACCACAGGGTGAGAAAATAACTTCACGCGGCATGTCTGAACAAACAACACATTCTGTCTCCAACATTTTCTTGTTTTTCTGAATACTAAATATCATAAAGATTACAAAACATCATAAGCTAAAATGTTTTTTTCTTAAAGTGCTTAAAAGTTGTTAGAGTGATTATGCTCAAGTGAGGCTAGTGAAAGTGAAGCTAGTGAAAGTGTGGCTAATGTAGCCTCATTTAAAAGTGTACTAAAAAAAAGCATCAAATTTTAGCTGAAATCTTAGTAATACCTTTGTCCATAAGATTGTCTGAGCGCATTGCATAAACCTGGATCTGGACAGAGATCAAGAGGAGTCTGACCTTTATTATTTTTACACGCTAATTGAGCACCATGCTCAGCAAGAAAACAAGCAATTGAGGTACTGCTAGTTTTTGTAAAGTCTTGCGATCCAAATCCCATTAATAACTTAAAAAAACAAGCAAAACTATAATTTATTATTAAAAGCTTTTAAAAAAATGATACACACACACACACACACACACATATATATATATATATATACAGGGTTCCCACTCCTCTTTAAAAACCTTGAATATCCTTAAGATATATATATATATATATATATATATATATATATATATATATATATATATATATACATATATATATATATATATATATATATATATATATATATATATATATATATATATATATACATATATATTTATATATATATATATATATATATATATATATATATATATATATATATATATATATATATATATATATATATATATATATATGTATATATATAAAAGAAATAAATGAAAACAATTAAAAAAAGGAGTCTACTTGATTGCTGTGATTCCTACAAAATTGGTAATAATGGGTAGATAATAAAAGAAAAAAAAAAACAATGAAAAAACAATGAAATCTTTTTATTTTTAACCTTAGAAACATCTTTGACACTTTGCATCTCTTTTAATCTTAATAACGTATGGTTTCTTAAAGCTTCATGTAGTGGTGAATCACCATCTTTGTCTTGCACATTAACATTTGCTCCTTCAGAAACAAGAAGCTAAAATTTATGAATTTACAATAATTATTTTGAAACAAAATTTTAAAGATTATCTAAAATGGCAACAAAAAAAGAAAAAAATAAAGAAAGTGTAATATAAATGATGCGAATAAAAATTTAAAAAACAAAAAAATATTCAATACTGAAATTTAATATATTTTATATTTTAAAGTATTTTAAATAACATGTTAATTTACATTTATTGACTGAATCTTTAAATTGAAAAAAAATAATTTCAATAAATAAAGATTTAAATAATTTCATATTTTTAAATTATTTATTAATTAGATTTAAATTATTTTTAAATTAGATTTACATTTAATTAAATATTAGTTTAATTAAAATAGTGTTTTGATTGATACTTATCAAAACATTGCAAATATACATCCTGTAAAAACAATGTTATACCAAAATATTACTAATGTAATACTAATGTAATTAAAAGGTTTAATTATGCTAACAATGGACGGAAAAGTCTAATCATGCAAGGTCTAATATTGTGCATAAGCAAAACAAAAATCAATAAAATAAATGGATGGTGAAGTAGAAGTTCACAATGACAGGTAAATGTAACAGAAGTAGGATGCCTCACAAGTAAATATAGTGTAGCAAATAAAGTGTAGCAAACAGGTACAATTTTAGGAGTTTTCTTTTGTGTCATTTGCCACTCCTGAATATACTTTTCACTTTTAAAAAATTATTACTTGTACTTGTATGAAACACTATTCCAACTGATCTGGTTCCTTTAATGGTGCTTTTTTTTAAATTAAATTCTTTCCAAGCCTCCAGAAGTGACAATTACAGTCAAGGAGGAGAAGCTTAAGTTTTTTTTTTACCCTAAACTCTGAAATGCTGCACAGGTTGGACATGGTAAAAAATCCAAAAACCCAAAACTCAAAAAAACCTAGCAAAAACTCAGTAGAGTTGAGTTTTTGCCAACCCTAAAAGAAACTGGAACTAATACCTAATACCTAACTACCCTTAACTTACCCTTGAACTAATACCTAACTCCCTTTAAAAATATTTTTCTAATTTTTACCAGCATACTTTTCTACATTTTTAAAACCTTTTTTTTTAAACTTTTTTTGTTCCTCTCATTTTTTCAATAAACATTAGAGATTTAAAATTTCCTTCATCATGTTTTTCTGATTCATCTAATGTGCAGAACTTTTTTAATAATTTTAAAGATTTCAATTTTATTTAATTTTAAAAAATGCTTCAGTTTAAAATCTGTTAAGATTAAATCTTGAGTTGAGTAGTTGAGGCTAAACATTGAGTAACTGAGACTAAAATACTTTTTTAATTTGTTTAATTTAAATATAATATAAATCTTAACATGAATAACAAACATAAATTTTCCGATCAGTTAGTATTAAAAAATTCTTCACATCTAATAAACTATATTAACAAATTTCTAATTGGGTAATGTCAAAGACAAACAATCTGCATAATTTCTTCTTATACTTTACATTAGAATTTTACATTTTAAATTTCTTATTTTTTTTTCTTTTTAAAAAAAGTTACAATCATTGCATAATTCATACAATTTTTTCATTTATACAAACAGTATTTTTATAGGTTTATACTACATTTTCATTATGGGACATCCATAAAGTATGCACACAGTAAAACTACTTAATTCGGGCCCATCTGTGTGACAAACCCCTCTCCTACTACATACACATGGGTTATTTATTACAAAATCAACCCCCTCTTTCCCAACGCATAAAGTTTTCAAAACATGAAATAATCTTTAGTTAATTCAACATTACTCTGTACTTAATTAAGTTATTAACAAAATTAAAGAAAAGTATTCTAAAAAAAAAAGTATTCTTAAAAAAGGCATTAGTTGTACGCGCGTACAACTAATATTATCTAGTTGTACGCACATTTTTTAACATAAGTTATCGTTAATTATTTTGACAATTTTACTTCAAATTTTTGATTAATTTAACCTAATAATTTTTTTTATAGAAATTTAATAAATTTCTAAACCCAATTTAAATAAATATTAAAATACTCATCTTATATTTTAAAGATAAGATGAGGTCTTATATTTTAAAGAATGCCTAAAGCCTGAGTATTTTATATTTTATATTCCTTGATGACTTAAATTTCCCTAAGTTGATGTATGTATTTTGCTTTTTAACTTACCGCCAGTTGCTGTATATTCATTTAGCTTTACTAATCCCTAATGATCTTCATGTATTTCATTTTTAAAATATTTGAAGTATTTTACATTATTAAGTAAAAAATTATTAATAAAATATTTATTTAAATAAATGATAAAAAATTAGTTTATTAATGAAATATTAACTTGTTGCAATGACAACTTTTTTAGAAATGACACCTACCTACCTAGTAGCATAATTAAAAAAAGAAAAAGACGTTAATTAAAAAACTTTTATTTAATGTCTTTTTGCTTTAATGTCCCGCTACTCATCAAACTACATCGCAAAAAATATAAAAAGCATTATTTAGAACAATTATCACTTGATTTCTTTTCTTTCTCCTAATTATAAACAATATGTAAAAATAATTGTGACTAATAATATTGTAATAATATTTTCTAAAAAACTCCATTCTTCACATCCACTTTTCACAAATGTAAACATGAACTCCAAAGTTTATATGGAAAAATATTAGAAAAAGTAACTTATGCCTTAAAATAAAATAGTCAACAAATATTATTTGCAAAATAAAAATATTTGTAATTGAATGCTAGGCTAAAACATTTTTATTTCATAGTTTTTTTTTATAGTCTGACATTACTCTTTACTTGTATATTTTTAAAGCAATATATTTCTATTTTTTAAAATACTATATGTATACATAGTTGTATTATAAATATCTTTACAATTATACGTGGTTGTAAAATAAATATCTTTACAATTATACGTGGTTGTAAAATAAATACCTTTACAATTTCTTCATGTTGTTTTTGTACAGTCAGATGAAGTGGTGTTTGTAAATTTGTATTTTGAATGTTAACATTGGCATGTCCTAATTTTATTAAGAGCTTTGCTACTTCTAAATGATTATTTAATGAAGCTAAATGCAAGGCACAATATCCATCATCTTTTTGTTCATTGACAATCCAGGGTTTATCTTTCTTTTCCAAAATCAGTTGGACTGCCCTATGATCATAAAAAATTTTTAGAAGATATAAAAAATATACATTAAAAAGCTATTTATTAAAATTATATTTTTTAAATTGTGATGTTAAAAATTGTTTGAAACACAGTAGTCCTTGTAGTTATATTTATAACCAATAAGCAAAGGTTTCTTTTTAATATATAAATTTATATATATTATTATATATTATATAGAGAAAACCATAGGTAATTATCATATGGAATAAATAATAAGTTTTTTTTAATTTTCTTCAAGACAAATAAGTTATTATTACTTTTTATTTTAATTGAAATTGTAAACCTTTTCAATATATTAAATTTTTTATTTATATAAATATGCATATAAAAACATAAAATTGTTACTGACTTTACATTTCCTCTTAAGGCTGCATGATGTAATGAATTAAAGCCATTGTTATTGGACAGCGAAATATCTGTACCAGAGTTTAGTAGAAGCTCAACAATATCATCTCGCTTTTTGGAAATAGCATCGTGCAATGCAGTATCTCCTTCAGAGTCTTGCAAATTGACATGAACACCTGCATCAAGCAAGGCTTTGATATTCCCTATGTGACCTTTGTTAACAGCTACATGTAATGCAGTTTGACGTCTTTTATTGCGAGAGTTTAAATCTGCATTTGCCTCCTTCAACAAAGCAAAGGTTCTACCTTAAAAAACAGCAGTGTTTTGTTTTAAAGAATAAAAAATATAAATGAAAAATTTCCTATTTAATAATTCACAGAATCAAAGTGAGAAAAAAAGTGATCTAGAAACTTCTGATTTATACAAAGCATCTTATAAATTTTTTTTTATCAAAAATATTTGAAAAGCTTTTTTGTGAAGTCAAAAAAAACAATGATAATTTAAGAAGTATTTTTTGTAAATCCAAAAAAAAAAAGTAGAAAAAAAAAAAGAAAAACAAGATTAGAGAGATTTTTCACATTTGAAATATATAAAAAGACAAAACTCGATGAACCTTTACAAACAAATAGCAAAACAAACAAGTTGAACTTTAAATATATTCTACAAATAATAATTATAACTAACCAAACTATTCAATTCAAACTGTTCCAAAAATAAGAAGGCTAAACTATTGTAACCAAACTGTTCCAAAAACATCATTGTAAACATGTGTATAATTTTATCATAAATCTGACTGTTGTGATCTAACTTTTGCACAAAACATTAGTGTAAACATGTTTTTGCATCTAACATAAAGTTAATTTGACATGCTTACATTTTTCATGATATTGTTACGAATTCAGTGTATAAATAAATGAATGAAATTACACTTGTTTTTAAAAGTGAGTGAATGAATGAAAAGTTATAATAGAATGGTGGAGTAATACAAACCTCATAAAGGAGTTTAATTCTTACAGAAATTGACTTATTAGCACATATTAGGCAATCCTAAAATGTGTATATAAACAAATGAGAATCTACCACATTTATGGTGTAAATGGTTAATATCAATTTTATAAAAGAAAACAATAATAAAATTAAAAAAAAAAACAATAAAATAAATTACTTTCATCATAAAATGTTGCATGATGGACAGCTTTATCACCATCATTATCCTTAAAAATAAATTATTATATGATTTTTGAAGATTTATTTGAAAAAAGAAAACTATAATAAAATTACAATAATCAGGGCTTAAAAATTTTTTTTTGAGAAACATTGATGTTCATTTTAATATTTATTGTCTAATACCTACAGTCTGCTTTTAATTTTACTGCAAGCTTTTTTAGCCTAGCGTGTACAATTTTAAAACGTGCTTTTTACTTTTTATTTTAATAAATAAACGTTTTATTTTAACTATAAATTAAACAATTACAATAAAAATGGAAAATTTTAATTTTAAATAAAATAATTAAAATAAAGACGCAAAACTAAAATAAAGACGCAAAACTGATTAAAATAAAGTTTGTAAACTTGACTTTTGTATTTGACAGTTTTATGCTAAACATTCACACATTCGCAGATTTGTCGAACCCTTATAATATTATACATTGTATAATAGTTTCAATATATAGTTATTTTATATAATTAATAAACAATTATATTATGTTAAAACATTTAAAACTTATTTAAAAAAGCAAGCTGCAATTAAAAAATTACTTCAACTTCAACATCTGCATTTAATTGGAGAAGAAATTTAATACTTTCTAATTTTCCATTTTGACATGCAAGTTGAAGTGCTGTGTGACCAGCATACAGAACATTTATCTAAATTAAGACAAGCATATTATTTCTCTAACTTCAAAATATGATAAGATATAACTTATAAATAGTTTATGTTCTCACATCAAAATTTGGAAAATGACATAACTCTTCTAAATTTTTAACATTGCCTTCTGCAGCAGCTTTAATAAATAATTCCGCAGGGTCTTTAGACGAATGACTTTCAAGGAAATGAAGAATTTTGGATGCTATAAAATCAATTTTTATTAAAAAATAATTATAAAAAAGCAATTAAATAATAATATACAAAATATAATATCAAAAAAGTATATATATAATATCAAAAAAAAAAAACCCGAGTTCGTTCCACGTGAACTAATTCTTTTTAGACATTTTGGATTGTAAGTCCAGCTTGTTCCATTAACTTCAACCTAAAGTTATAAATAACAAATTGTAAAATCAAAGCTGTCATGTTTACCTTATCAAAGCTATCCTGTAATGTTTATTTTATAAAAGTCTAATTTAATCTGTTTATCTTGTTGAAGTCCGCGTTGTCCTGCTTACCTTGTTGAAATCTAACTTGTCATGTTACTCTTGTTGAAATCTAAAATTTCCAGGACCTTGTAATTTTTTCAAGCATACTAAAATATACCTAGATCCACTTATTTTCTGCAATAATTTTTTAAAACTTAGAGTGAAATTAAGTCCAGAATAAAATTTTCTGCTACCAGGTTCTATACAGTGGGCAAGTATATAACCATATACATAACCATATACATAACCATAACCATATACATAAACCATAACCAAATACATAAGCAGTTATAAAAAATAAATGTTTAAACCCCTGGTTATGTTTTGCATAAAGAAGCAAATGCTTTAATAAAAAAATTTTTTTTGTACAAACCCAATAGTCTTGATTTATAATATTCTGTTTGTTTTTGTGTATATATGATATTTTAGTTAATGTACTTTTTTTATAAAAGTTTAAATTAGCTGACTTAAAGCAAAGTAAAACAACAAAAACAAATGAGCAATAATTTAGATTATAAATCTTATATATCTACTTGTTGTTCATAGTAAATATAAATCTTATTTATCCACTTGCTGTTCATACTTCTGTAAACAGCAAGTAGATATATAAAATTTATGTTTAAAAAATAAAAAAGAATGTTAAGTCTTAAATAAAAACTAATTTTTTAAGTTTACAACCAAAAATCAAATTTATATATATGTTTACTTCAACATATATATAAATTTGAATTTTGGTTGTAACTTTAAAAAAATAGTTTTTATTTAAGATTTAACATTCTTTTTTATTTTTTAATCTCTATAACATCTTTCTAGTTGTATGTTTGTAAGTTTTGTTCAAACAAAAGACTTGAAAAAAACTAAAGTTTGTTCAAACAAAAGAAAAAAACTAAAAAAATAAAAAGATTTGAAAAGTTTGTGTAAAGTGTAAAGAAAAGTAAAAGTAAAAAAGTAAAAGTGAAAAGTAAAAAAACTTTAAAAAAAGTAAAGAGAACTTAAATCTTAAAAGTTTGCAAAGAAAAAGTTTAAACTTAAAAGTTCGTAAAAAAAAGTGTAAACTTATCGCATACATGAAATTTAAAATCTCTGTATATTTCATGAGCAGTTTACATGAAATAAGATATCAAAGCTTTTTAAATTGCTTTAAAATAAGATTTTAAAGCAATTTAAAAAGCTTTGAAAGTGAAAAATTTGTTTGTATTGTAGAGGTTTATAATAAGAAATTTTAAAATTTTGAAAAATATAATAAGTAAATTTCTAAAAAATAATATGAAATTTCTAAAAAATAATATGAAAAATATAATAAGTAAATAGTAATTTCACAGTTATCAAACTAGAAAGAAATTTAAAACTTTGATATTAGAAATTCTGTCTATTTAGACTCTATTTTAGTGAGAAATAAAAATTAAATAGTGCAGAAAAAATATTTTACTTAAATGATATTTTAACTGATTGTTAAATGAGTCAAAGAATCTGAGAAACAAAATACATCCTTGCATATTAAGTGCAAATTGAATAAGGAGAGAGGTAAGAAGTATTTAAAGATGCAAATTAAAATGAAGTCAGAGATGTATAAAAGGTGAAAACTAAAGGTGTGTCAGGGAAAGAGATGTGATGAGTTCAGAGATCCAAACTGAAGTGAATGAAGAGAAGTGTGAATAAAAAGTAAAGTGTTACAAAGTAATATAGGCTCACTGTCAAGTCTCCATCATAAATAAACTTACTTTCAAATCTCCATCATAATAGCAACTCACCTTTAAATCTCCATCATGATAAACTTTAGTAACACAACCAATTTTTCCCAAGGTCTTAATTTTAAAAATAGATATTAAAAAGATCAACAAACAAAAAAATCAACATAAACCATTTAACAATAATAAATCAACATAAACTAATCAAGCAAAAAGTATATAAAGCAAAAAAAACTAATAATAATTTAATCTAATAACCAAAAAATGAACTAATCATATCTTTAAACTTACAGCAACCATAACATCAGTCCATTCTCCGTGTCCAATTTGTAAATTGCTTACTTGTTCTTGATCATTTAAGATCTGCACAATATCTCCAACAGCAAGTCTTTTTGTAAATGATGTATTAGTTTCATTAGAATCCTGAATTCCACTGCTTAGAATGAGGAACTGCAATGAGCGTATTTCTTCACTTAATGCATCTATTTGACCATCACTCTCTGAAATCCCACAAGTAAGAACTGATGGGTTGAATATCCACCTTTAAAAAAAATGAACAACTAAAAAAACTTTTTAAAAATTAAAAATATTTTTAAAAACTACAACTAATTATAATTAAATTTATATTTAAATTTCAAAAATTTCTTGAAACTCACTTATTGCCACTGGCATAGGAAACAATAACATCTCTGTCTTCATCAAATCCAAAAACAACTCCAATGCTCCCCATTGCCTTGAAAACAAAATAAAAATCTAACCTGCTTTTAATAAGAACCTAACCTGTTTTTAATAAGAACCTAAGAGAGTCTAATTACTATTTATTTAACAAGAATAAAAGATATATACCTCAACCATACCATCTGCCCACCCTCCATGGCCCCGCTGGAGAGTTTGCACAATATCTAAATCAAGATCTACTCGCACAAAATCACCTATCTTCCAATGTTTGGTCATCGATTGAGAAGTTGTTAAATTCTCTCCAAGTAAAGGCAAATGATCTCTGTAAAATGGTGATCCCTTGGCATCAGAAATACATTTCAAATCAACCTTTAGAAAATTAATATAAAAGCTTGAAATGAAAAAACAACAACATACAACTCTTTGAATGGAAATATTTTTACTAAAATAAGAATTAAAAATCTAATTATCTATACAGTTCTTTTATTGTTGTAGTTATTAATTTGATTTGTCGTTGTTACTAATTTGTTGTTGTTACTGATTTTTAAAACCAAGTGCCTTTAGAGTTGTAAAATAAATTTTTTTAGACACAAAATGGATATCAAAAAATAAAAAACAAAAACTTCACCTCAATTTTTTAAAATCTATTCTAAACTATAACAAAATTGTTATAATATAGTCTATAATTAAATTGTTTTAAACTTCATAAAAATTGTTTACAAATGGTATTCAAAAAGTATTTACATAGTTTATTAAAATCTCCTTAAAAAAAATTTCTTTGCTAGTTTAAACTTTCTAATAAAAGAGACAATATCTGTACTCCGAAGACATTGAAAGATTATTGTAAAACAGAACTTTTTGATATCTTAAAACGGTTCAATTAAAAACGATGAACTGGTTTCAATCTTAAAAATGATGAACTGGTTTGAAACTTAAACAATCAAGATACTTATTAAAAATGATGAACTGGTTTGAAACTTAAACAATCAGGATACTTATTAAAAATGATGAACTGGTTTGAAACTTAAACAATCAGGATACTTATTAAAAATGATGGACTGGTTTAAAACTTAAACAATCAGGATACTTATTAAAAAACTAAAAAAAAAAACTAAATCAAACGCTAATAGTTTAAAAAAAAGTTTTTTTTTCAAAAACAAATAAAATACTTCAAACTGTAATTAGCATTTTTCTCAAAACTAATTTAAATGTGATATAAAATTTACCATTCCTTCAAAACCAATACGATAGAGATTCTTTGCACCTGTATCCCAAGCAACATAAGCAGCACTACGGGGGGTAGTAGCACTCCAATTTTGAATATCAACCACTTTCCCTCTTCGGCCAGCCTCACCTTAAACAAATTCAACTTTACCTTAAACAAAATTCCTTTACAATTTTAATTGTCAAAACTTAAATATCTATAGTTATAAACCTCTACAATGCACAGAGACCTAATTTTGCTTAGCAACAACCTATTTTTGGTAGTAGCATATGTTTTATGTTTTTTATATACATTATAATTAGTTTGTCCAGTAATATGAGATTTGCTTTTCTTATGAAGGGGATATTTATTATTTGGTTGCTATGGTTACCTAATTGCAGATTTATATATATATATATATATATATATATATATATATATATATATATATATATATATATATATATATATATATATATATATATATATATATATATAAATTCATAAATATAAAATTATTAATTGCAGATTTATATATATATATATATATATATATATATATATATATATTATATATATATATATATATATATATATATATATATATATAAATTCATAAACAAAGAAAATACAACATTTTATGGTACAAATAGTTTCATGCCTAAAGGCAATGATCAACCATGTAACACAAATTAAAAAAAACTAAAAAAAACAATGTTAAAATATAAGTTACAGTGGAGTGTGCTACGTTGTCATAACAACAAACAACAAAAAGAAAAAAAGAAAAATCTAAAAACAATTGCCTATTCACCCATATCAAATTTCGCAAGAAAAAATTTGCTTTTATGTCTACATTTAGGTACTAATTCATTCCTCTTATTTAACAAGTTATCATTGGTGCAAGATTGCCTTAGACATGAAATTATTAGTACCATAAAAAGTTGTAATTTTTTTTGTTTATAAACTAATAATAATTGTATTTTCTCTGTTTATAAATTAATAATATAATATATATATATATATATATATATATATATATATATATATATACATATATATATACACATATATTACATATATATGTATACATATATATATATATACATATATATATATATATATATATATATATATATATATATATATATATATATATATATATATATATATATATATATATATATATATATATATATATATATATGTATATATATATATATATATATATATATATATATATATATATATATATATATATATATATATATATATATATATATATATATATATACATACACATACACTAACTAAAGCGTATTTTTATAAGCATTTGCTCACTTTTTTTGCTTACCTTAACTCATACAGCTTTTTTAGAAAAAGAAGAAAAAAAACGAAGATGAACGAAACGATTGCTGCCCCATCCCAAACCCTCAGTCGATGTAGCAGCACTCCACTGCGAGTCAGGCTACTTGTCAGTTGATGTATGTACTGAAGCCCCCAGCAGCAGGCTATTTCAGTATGACGTCAGATTGCTTATCTTAGTACGCAATACTATTTGTATATATATATATATGTATATATATATATATATATATATACTTATTTATAAATATATATACATATATATACATATATATACATATATATATATATATATATATATATATTTATATATATATATATATATATATATATATACATATATATATATATATATATATATATATATATATATATATATATATATATATATATATATATATATATATATATATATATATATATATATATATATATATATATATATATACATATACATATACATATATATATATATTTAAATTTTGTTTAAATGAAAAACAACATTATTAATAGTTCTTAAAATTTCGTCCCAAACACAGTAATCATCAGCTATTAACTACATAAAAAAACATAGCAGAAGCTTTAAGTACTATATATAATGTTGTTATTCATTTAAACAAAATTTAAATATTTATTGCTCTACTATAGTAAGATTGAGCACTGTTTTACGTTCAAGAGTTTTTGTATTATTTAAAAATAATACATAAAATAATATAATACATAAAGTAATATAATACAAGCCAAAATGCCTTTCTCATAACTTTAACAGCAAGAAATGTCATTATATAAAACATTTTACACTTATCTTTTGATGCTCTCTGATACTGCTTTTTATTTATTGTTTGATGCTCTCTGATACTGCTTTTCTATTCATTTTCAAGCGAAATGAAATTTTAAATATTGCAGTTATTCTTTAAATAATATTTTGCAATAAAAATATTTTTTAGTAATTTTAAAATTATTTTTTTATTCAAGAATATTTAAAAATATTTTTTTGTAATTTTAAAATTATTTTTTTATTCAGTTTCTCCACACTCACACTTAGGTGCATCCGATCATGGTTTGGTCTCTTTAAAACTATTATCTCATTCTTCTTTATCCTCAGAATCCCCCTATCATTGTACATCTTACAACTACCTTAAAGCTGACTGGGACTCTATCCGTGATTTTCTTCGTGATGGCCCATGGGTAGAAATCTTTCGTCTTCCTGTTGACAAATGTGCTTCTTACATAACTTCGTGGATTCAGGCTGGCATGGAATCCTTTATTCCCTCTCGATGATTCCAGGTCAAGCCTCACTCTTCTCCATGGTTTTCCTCGAAAATCGAAATCGAAACCATTACTTCCATATCTATCAACAAAACAATTCTCCAGAAAACAGACGTCTGTTTATTACTGCTGGGAACCATTGTAAAAAGGTTTTGTCTAACGCCAAAGCCCGCTATTCTCAGATCATGAAATCTCGTGTTTCATCACAAAAATTAGGCTCTCGCGACTTCTGGAGAATCTTTAATAGTATCAATAATAAGGGCAAGTCTGTAACTCCACCTCTTTTGTATGGCTCAGACTTTGTCACCTCACCTAAAGACAAAGCTGAATTGTTTGCTAAGAACTTTTCATCAATATCATCTCTTAATTCTACTAGTTGCGTTCTACCTGATATAGCCGTCAAATAGGTTGATTCATTGCTTGACATCCATATCACTCCAGCTTCTGTATTTAAAGTGATTTCCTGCTTAGACTCTTCTACAGCTTGCGGCCTGGACAACATACCTGTTATAGTCTTGCAGAAGTGTTCTCCGGAGCTTTCGTCTATCCTTTCAAAACTATTTAACAAGTGCTTATCAGAGTCTTGTTTTCCAGCCTGCTGGAAAGCAGCATCTGTTATCTCTATTTTTAAAAATTCTGGAGAGCGATCCGATTCGTCTAACTACCGTACCATTAGTCTTCTTCCTAATATAAGCAAGGTTTTCGAATCTTTAATTAACAAACACTTAATCTCTCATCTCAAATCTCATAACCTACTTTCTGATCATCAATATGGATTTCGATCTTCTTGTTCTACGGCTGATTTGCTATCAGTAATAACCGATAGGTTTTATCGCTCATTAGATAAAGGTGGAGAGGTTAAGGCCATCGCTCTTGACATTTCTAAAGCGTTTGATAAAGTTTGGCATGCTGGTCTTCAAGATTATCGAATCCTTCCTTTCCAATCGTAGTATAAAATTGTCCTTGATGGACAGCACACTTCTTCTTATTCTGTAACCTCAGGGGTTCCTCAAGGTTCAATCCTTGGCCCTATACTCTTTTTAATTTACATTAACGATCTTCCAGATATTCTCACATCTAAGGTGGCATTGTTCGCTGATGATACTACCATTTATTCTTGTCACGATAAGAAGCTAACTCCCTCTGATTGCTTGCAGGGGGCATTTAAGCTTGAAAAGGATCTCACTTCTGCTACAGCATGGGGCTTGCAGTGGCTGGTGAACTTTAAGTCAGAAAAAACTCAATTTTTTTCAGCCAATCGTTATCGCAATAATTTAGACCTTCCTATATTTATGAACGGTAATGTACTTGATGAGTCATCTACCCTTCATCTTCTAGGATTAATTCTCACTTCTGATCTTTCTTGGAAACCTTATATCAAATCCATTGCAAAATTAGCATCTGCTAAAGTTGCATCTCTTTGTCGAGCTCGACACTTTCTTACTCTGGATTCTATTCTCTATCTCTATAAATCTCAAATCCGGCCTTGTATGTAATACTGTTGCCATATCTGGGGTGGATCTTCTAATGATGCCCTTTCTCTTTTAGACAAGGTGCAAAAACGCATTGTAAACATAGTTGGACCTGCTCTTGCAGCCAACTTTCAACCTCTGTCACATCTTCGTAATGTTGCTTCTCTTTCTCTATTCTACAAATACTATAATGGGCACTGCTCTAAAGAGCTAGCGTCTCTTGTGCCATCTACTAAAATTCATTCTCGTAATACTCGTCATTCAATTAAGTCTCATCTTTTTTCTGTTACTTTTCCTAAGTGCTCCAAAAACTCTTATTTGTCTAGTTTTTTTCCTTGAACATCAGTTCTTTGGAATTCGCTTCCTTCATCTTGCTTTCCTGATTCATATAATTTGCAATCTAAGTTGTCTGTCAATCGTTATCTTGCTCTATAATCTTCATCTTTTCTCTTCCAGTAACTTCCAACACTAATTAGTGGTTGCTTGCAGCCTTGTTGGAAGCGAAGATGTTGAAAAAAAAAAAAAAAAAAAACATAAGCAACCAATCAATGTATACATATATACACACACACACACACACACACACACACACACACACACACATATTTATGTATTTACTGCAAATTTAAGAAAAACAATTTAAATATAAATTTAAGAAAAAAAATTTCTGTTATGCATTAGAAAAATTCTAATATGCATTAGATGAAAACATTTATCTGACGCATATTAGATGCATTAGATTCTTACATCTATTGCATCTAATATGCATTAAATGGAATAGCTATCGCTCTTGACATATTTAAGACTTTTGAAAAAGTCTAGCATGCTTGTCTTCCTTATAAGCTTGCTCCATATAGTGTATCTGGAAAAACTTTTAAAATATTAGAATCATTCCTTTCAAACCGCAGAACTTAAGTTGTCCTTGATAAACAACTCTCCTTTTTTTCCAGTAACTTTTAGGGTACCACAAAGTTCCATTCCTAGTCCTGTGTTGTTCCTCATCTATATTAATGATCTTTTGATTATTTTCACCTCTAAAGTAGCTTTATTTGCTGATGAAATTCTCTAGTCTTGACAAAAAGTCTTCATCTTTTAAAAGCTTAAAACAGGCAGCCTATCTTGAATGTGATCTCTCTTCTGTGATGGTAGATGGTATGCTGTGGACGGAGAATTTTAAACCAAACAATACTCAGTTAATAATTATTGCAGTATTGTTGATATTTCTATTTAATGAACTGCAGTACTCTACTGAGCCCTCTAATTTATATCCCCTTTTAAATTATCATTTGTTACTGACCCTCTAATAGAAACCATAAATACAATTTATTAAATGCTAAGTCATCTGCTAAGGTTGCCTTATTATTGTGCTCTCTAACGGAAACCATATTATTATTGTGCCTGCCATTTTCTTAATCCTAATTCCATTCTTTATACCACCTTTATACACCATCTGTATACACCACCTATCTTCACCTTTATTGTTGACATATTTGTGCTAATACTTTTAAAAGGGCACTTACTCTTTTAAAAAAAATAAAAAATCAAATTGTTAATGTTAATGGACCTGCTATAGCTGCTAAACTTGAGCATTTGTCCTATAGTCATATCATCTCTTTCTCTTTTCTGTAAATACTAAAATGGGTGCTGCTTAAACTAGCTATCACT